CATTTAATAACAATAACAGTTATAATAATAGAAACAACACAGTTGGGAAGTCAGGATTTCACCTCAAAACTGCCATATACCATCTGTTATTATTAGAGAAAGACTATGTCATGACAAAATAGTAACTTTAAATCCCAGTCCTACAAATGATGCAGTATTCTGAAATTCTGAAGGACCAAAAGATGCTCAAAGCATTAGTCTGATTGTAAGTTCAGTGCCCTGATACTGACTCGTCAGCTCTTTTTGCATGCTATTTTTACATTCAGAAATTGCAAAATTTGTTAGTAGAGTTTATACTATGTGGCAGATTGCTAGAATCTCCTGCTTTTCTGGTCAATATTACAAGATGGCATGCAAAGCCATTTGCTAATATTAAGAATGTCTGGTTTTGCACAAAAATTAAATAAGTAAAAAGACATTTACTAAGTAAATATACACCTAAGCAAGTGTTTTCACAGAGAACTAGGTTTTTTTCACTGTTTCTTTGTATTGTTGATTTGAAAATCTGAAAATAAAAATCCGCAGAGAGTTTTTTCCTGTGTTTTCTGAAAGTCTTCTCTAATGGGAATCTACTGTCCTTTTCCAAAACTGAATGAATTCAGTGATAAACTTCCCACTCATCTTGCTCTGAGCTTTGGATCAGGACACAGGCTTCACTAATAGGGAACATCCCATTCAACCTTCAGATTTAATGCTTTGGCAGAAGCACTTGGTGAGAAGCTGTCTGCAGAAAAGAAGTTTTATGAGTATGCTGAAAGGTTGAATGTGTGCCTGTGTGCTAAAATCAAGCTTACCCAATCTATCTCACAGCATAACTATAGAGATAGACTGGTACACAGAAGATCCTGTTGAAATATTTTAGGCTTTACAGTAGGTCCTTTAAAATGAAATGCTGGACATAAGCATTAAAAGCCAATAAGAGACATTCAAATTTGAGATTATTGTGAGCTTCGCCTTCGTGGGTTTCCCTGAAGTCTTCTGCCTTGCATCAAAATAAGAAAGAAGAGGTGAGAAGGGGGAAATAGCATGGAATAAGTAGGATGGAGTGAGTAAGGACATGCTCCAAAGGCCACTTGAGTCAATGGCAGTGTTTACCGGAGGATTTGGTTCACGGTCTGAATTTCCCATCAGCAATCTGCACAAAAGGCAAAGAGGTGATTGTAATACCAATTTGAAGAGAAGAGTCTGCTCTGTGTAATCTCATTTTAGAACATACTGAATGAAGGGGACTTCAAGTACTGCTCTATGGCAAGGAGCATGTGGCAGGCCCCTGTCCAGAGCCCATTCCTGCAACACACAGGATCTTTCAGCTTGAGGATTTCAAGGAAAGGATGATACATGTACGTACACATAGGAATAAATATAAGCATTTTTACATAAATGGCAAAATTACTCCAGTCTGTATTTTTTTGCCTCAAATATTTCAGTTTCAGAGCCCTATCTGTTCTGTTCATTCCCATTTGTAACCTAGTAACAGTGCTGTTTGGTGCAGCTGAAGAGTAACAATTGACTAGATCAGGACTACGCAGTATAAGATCCAAAGATTGCCTTCAGACCTCTCAAAATTCAGTCTGTGGTATCATACTTCCTTAGCAAACTTTAAAGAAAGAAAAGTACTAATCCTTCCACATGCATATAGACATATATATTTAAGCATACATGCATGCGCACACATACACAGAGGAAGAGTGAGAGAATTTAATGTAAGGTCTGATTACCTTTTAAACTAATGCCCTTTACATAACTCTGACACTGTAAAGAGTCCTTAAAAAGGGAAGATACACAATTTACATTCCTTTTAAAGCCATCTCAGTACTGATGAGAAGTGTAAAGGGGCCTTAGAGTAACAGAACCTGCCAAAAGGTACTTGCTGCCACACTTCCTTTTCACATTTTACAAATATTTGCATTACAAATGAGATTCCTTAATTACAGGTTGCATTCTAAATAAAACATCATTACAAATACTAAAGTGCAGAGAAGCAATGGCTGGCATATTGGAACAAGACCTTAAGGGTAGATTCCGATACAGCCAGACCGTGAGTGACAGACTCAGCCCAAACCACTGCTTCTTCCACAGCAGGGCTCAGTGCATTTAGTGCTTAAGTAATTCTCTCTGATTATAAAACCAGCAGAGCTATTCTAACATTTGGTCCCCCTGGTCCACAGTGCAGAGAAGCACAGGCAGCTGAAGGAGCCCCTTTTACCCATATACAATACCTAGCATAATAAAGCCCAATTGTGTTTTGGGGCTGCTAGTCTCAATTCAAAGACAGGAAAAATAATAGCTATTAAGATAAATCAAATAGCAATTCCTACTTTATTCCTACTTGACTTTGCAGAAATTATAGCCTTTTATGTAACATATAGGCTTAGGAATCCTCATGGAAATGTATGGCTGCATCCTGTCAAGACTAAAGCGCGGTCCAGCCCAGTGTCCTGTGTCCAGCTGTGAGCTGGCTGCCTAGGGAGGAGACTAACAGGAGGGCGAGCATACAGCGATGCTTTCTCAGAACACTCTCCTAGTCCTGAACTTGTGGCTGAAGGACTGTCTGCACCAAAGCTTAACAGCTCCTGATTGATTTCCTTTCCATAAAGAGTCACTTTTTGAGCATATGTATATTTTTAGCAACATTACCTCCTGCTCAAAGCTTCATTACATTGTGGTGAAATGTCTGTCTATGTTTTGAACCTGCTGCTTGCTATTTCCACTTCATGCCCCCTAGTTCTGGTACTGGGAGGAATGACAAACAGTGGTTCCCCGCTCACCTTACAAGATGCTCTGCTTCTGAAGATTATCCTGCAATAGATCATGGGAAGGTACTGTATTTTAATAGGACACCGAAAGAATGGTTTTCATGATAATACTATTCTTAGGGTCTCATAATTTCAAAGCTACAACTTGGTTTTTGTATTCTGCAATAAAAAGGACATAGCCAAGTTTAGAGAGGAACTTACATCAAGGGCAACTAATAAAAAACAATGTCTTCTAAGTGACTACTCTTAAGCTATCTGAAGTTAGATTTTTTTCTGTATCTGATTGTTTTGATAGAAGGCTGTTAACTTTTTGGTGTCTCTTGGCAAGTTAGGACTCACGTATTTTTGTATGTCTAGCTCATTCTTTTCCAGTATCTCTTTTTTTTTTTTTCTTAATTTATAAATGGAAGAATGACTTACATTTCTTTTTCAGACATGAGCCATACCATATACCATATTGCGTTCTACTTGTCTTGAATAAGAAACAGGCTTGAACAGTTAGTCATTTCCAGTGTCTGTCAACCAGATACAAGTTCAGTAAAATGAGCCATTTTAAACTTTCAGGACTGCCATTTTCAGCAGCAAGAACTTGCATTCACTCTGCACTGCTCCCCAGCAACTTGTCATCTGGAATAAATCTATTTATTAAGGATTTACAGAGCTCTGGAAAATATAGCAACAAGTCTGTGACTGCATTCATGCTCTTCGAACCCACACAACATATTGTGAATTCAGTATAATTTTAACCTGCCTTCTTCCTTCTTGAAGTGTGATGAAGGTGTGTTTTGTTCTGTTGTCTTTTTTTTTTTTTAATGCCTCACTCCCCTTTTCTTTTCCTATCCTACCCTCTACTCCGTCTATTGTATCTTGATGTCTCTGACCCTCAGACTCTTAGTGGTCTTTTATCACATTCAGTTCACTTGATTGTCTAAAAGCCTCTCACTCTTGCAGAGGATTTTCTTTCTTCATGTGCTTTTGCTCTCACAGTGCGCTTGCTTTCTCTCTCTCTCTCTCTCTCTCTCTCTCTCATCCTTGCTTCAGTGTCTCCTAGTTAATGTTTATCTCCAGTTTCTCATCGTTCCCCACTCCTTTCAGAAGACAGTGGGATGGTCAAATAAGTATCTGGGAAGCCTTGGGCTAAAATATATCTATCCAATCTCTGAGTGCTATAGTTAAAAAATTGGGAATGGCATCTCCTGTGGCCATTTTATCCACAGACTAAATGGAAACACTACAAGCCTCAACGATGCTATTGATTGCCAATTACCTCTTAACTGCTAATGTGTACATGATACTGGCTTTGCTTTATTGATTTTTATATGGAGAATGTTGTATATTTTAGAAATATTTTTTGTAAGATAACACAAAATGTTACAGGTTCCTTTTTATTTCCTTTCAGACTACGTAGCAAAAATTGGTACTTGGTGTAGAAATCTCTAGAGACCACATTATTGCAAGGAGTTTATATACATCTGTGTATAAACGTTTCAGTTAACAGTTATTTACATTGAAATTATATGTACTAAGGCATACACACACATAAGAGCATCTGTAGGTAAACATCCTTGATTTCCATCACTTTCAAAGGATTTGCTTTGTCTGAAAGGTTCTGATTGCACTTTTTATGCAGATACACATAAATGCTGCTGTGTTTGGTTAGGGGCAGTGCAGAAAAAACCTGCAGTCTCACAGCCTGTGTGCACCTTGAAGTATTAACTCATTCTGTAGTTTGCAGCACGGCAAAGGCTCATAGACCTAAATACAGCAGTCTTGATATTTTCATTTCTTCATTATTTGTGCATTAGTATCTACTAAACAAAACTGACATCGCTGTATGCTGAACAGACATACAGCAAGAAACAAGCCCTTCCCCTGGAAAGTTTTAGGTCTAAGGGTGACATTTGCAAAATTGCCTAATGGAATGAAGAGCCCAAATCCTCATTTTCAGTTTGTGATGTCACCTGTGTTGGGGATTTTTAAAAGGCAAGGTAGGAAAAAAAAAAAAAAGCAACAAAAACCAGGGGAAAGACAGGATTAATACAACAGTTTTACAGGCAAGGAACTGAGGCACAGAGAGATTAAATGATTTGCACAGCATCACTCCTGGAATCTGAGCTCTAACCTCAATTCTCCCGAGTCTCTCCGCACCACACTACTTACACCACCAACTCTCCAAGTCTTCATGTAGTCTGTGCCTTGTATGAACCACCCTTCAAATTGCCAAGCGCTAAACATCCAACTTACATTTTCACTGTTAACGTCTGCCTCACTGGGGCAGCCAAAGAGTTCCCGTCTCAGCAAATTCCCATCATATTCCAGGAATGTCAGGTAGAGGTTGCGGAAAAACTCCACATGCTTGTTTTTCACTCGCAGCTTTTTTGGTGAGTTCCAGTGAATCACCTCAGAGGGAAAAAAAAAGAGAAAACACATCCTGCTGTTAGAATACAGATTTGCTATATCTGCTCTTTTTATGTGTGTTCAGTTCACCGCCCTCTTAAAAAAAACCCCAACCCCAAAACTACACAGACTTCCTTCTGTCTTTTTATCAGGAAGGCTTTGCCACGTCTTTCACAAGTAACTGCACTCTACAGGTGATGTTCTTTGAAACTCCTGCGTAGTTTCCTCCTGCACATTTGAGTCAGGGTGCTGCTCTAGGTTGTGATGCAGCACCTCAGAAATGCTGCCACAGCTCTGATCAGGGCCCTGACAGGTGATGGACTCTGGTCCCTCAGGTGGCAGGACGAGGGACACAGGGATGCAGGTATTAAACATTAATCTCAGGTTTCCACATGACTGTTTCAGCTAATGAAATTGATTCACTGTTTCAGGCCAGGCAGACTCTTCTCTGGCTAGGTATTGAGAAGAAAAAGCTTGAAATTAATTCCCATACCCACTTACACCCTTCAAAAAGGACTGAATTTAATCTGACTTCCTTTTCGCCTTTGCTTCATTTAAACAAGACTGATCTCAGCTGCCTTACACAACACAGCGATGCAGCACAATGCTTCACCCTTTGAATTCCAATTTGTAGCAGGTATTTAGCCTCTGCTAATGGGAGATGATTCTCACGCTGGCCTAGATTTAACTCCAACGCTGTCATAAAGGGCCTGATTCTCATTTACATCAAGGCAACTTTGCACGGCTGCCAGTGTGAATGAGAACGGGGCCCTAAGGAAAAACTAAGAGGGAGCCAAATGTGGCTTGCAGGAATGATTTCATTTTATAGAGGCTATATTTTAGGCATAAGAAAAAAACACCAAATGCTTTGTATTCAGTTTTATTCCTGTAACTTCTAAAGAGATTAAAAAAAAAGTCTCCCTTGGGAATATTTCCAAGCTAGGCATTCCGGAGGTTCTCTGAATCCATTAAGTTAATTGCGTGAAGGCACTGTGTCACTCACGCACAGCCACAGAGCTGCAACACCAGCTGCTGAGCCGGTCGCGTGGTAAGCTTCGCTCTGAACGTTGCATTTGTGGGAGGGAACGCACAGAGCTGAAGTGCAGCACGTAGAACAGAAGCAGCCCGGAGCAGATGAACACAGTTCCCTTGGTGTCAGCAACACAACTCCGCAGGAACAGGGAGCCCCCTGAAATCACGCTATCTGTTGCCGAATTAGTGGACCGGAGGAGGAGTGAGCAGGACGTAGCCTGAATTCCTCCTGTACTAACTTCAGCAAACAACATAGTCTCTCCACTGAGTATTTATACTGCCGTAAAAACTATGACACTCTCTTCTACGTACCCAAGACCAATGACAATATGTCCTGATAGGGAAAGCTTTATCCCTTCTTGGGATTTCACTGCTGAGGCTACTAGGATGTCAGAAAACCATACATGAAATTAAAGAAAAGCAACTGTAGGGAAAAAAGATAATTTCAGAAACTGGCAAATCACTTTTTCCAGATATAGGAACGCTTCAAATCAAGATCATGATGCATCTACACACTGTATAAATTTGGGAAATTATCTGGACAAAAATACTTGGTGTAGGCATTTGTCTTGGGTTTGCATGGTAAAGTTTTGGGGGGGGGGGGCTACAG